GGACCCAATGATTAGGCCGGCTGTGGCCTGAGTCAAAGTGCAAATTGGCACGACTCTTATCCTTACTTTTTTTGCGCCCAGCCGTCTGCCGAATTTACCTACATGCAGACAAAAAAACAGCAGTCGAAAGGGATCTTCAACTACTGCGGTGATTTTCTGGACCGTTTCAAAAAGGCGGGCCTTAACCCAAGCGAGGGCCTACCCTGCAGACTAACAGCTAACAAAAACAGCTCATAAAAAGTAAATGGGAGTGTAGAAGTTAAGTTCTACCTCCCCTACAACTTACTGAATCTAAAAAATGTATAAATTGACGTTAATTTGCAACAGTCCTTACGGGGGTAATGAAAGAATATGATACTTAATATACTATAAGATTTAAATCAATTCTTCTGCTGGACATGCGGGGTCTAGTCATGTTGCATCCTCCAAAAAGGCAAAAACACCAGGGTTCCTACGCCCCCCTAGGTTAAACACATATGTCCTCCATAAGAAACAGCTGAGAATATTGTCTGTACACAGAAATGCAACAATTTTTCATGTGCCTCTCATTAAAAGCAGATCAGACGAAAGATTAAGTACTTCAAACAACTTTCATCAATAACAGATGAAATAGTGATAACCGCATACCTTATAAACATCTGAGCTACCATTATTATCAGATGGTATACTGAACCAAACAAAGAAAAATTAACTATTAGCGCGACTCTGATTATCGTTGCTTGCATTTAACTACCCATGAACGACGGTGATAAAAATTTATAAACTATAAAATGGTTTTGGCACCTATAATGGTTTTGGCACCTATAGGATGAGCCATGCATGTTTCACGCCCCAAATCAGTGTTCTTTCAATGATAAGGTGTAGCATAATTTGTTTAAGCAGCTATACCTCGCTCAAATGAAATATATCATGCATGGTTTATGGTTAAATCACTTAAATGTCAATTAGGAGCTGTTTACATGTAGGCATGATGACCATGATCTCTGCTATACTCAGTGACTGATTAACGAAGGCTTGACTTTGGGGCAGTCTTAAAATGAGTAAATAACATGATCAGACATGCAGCTAGTTGTAGCCTTCCGACTTATTCCCGCAATAATATCTGAGACTGCTCTTGATACGTTTAATCTTAGGTAACTTTCTTGGGATCATGCAAACATCCTTTAATTTCATTGCGTGAGCAATTATGACAGAAAAATCCACTCATGCAGTGTGTGATGTCAATTGTCAGCATAAAAAACTGCCTTAACTGTTCCAAATTTTTTACAACTCTACTTCTTAACTATGTCTATAATCTGCATGCACGTGTAAACTGATATACGCAATATAAATGTCATGAAATGCAACACAAACCTTTTTGGCACGTTTTCTCAAGTACAGAAACTCCAAATATAAGAGTATCCTGTATAAGTAGTTCAGTATAATAACCTACGGTCGCGGCAGTTTTTTTTAACAAACTACTTTCGCATGTATAGCGATACAGTCTACAGAATGTGTTGCTCCAAGCCAGCCACGAATGAGTGGTGATATGCCAATGTAGGAGTGAATATGGATATGATATACCAACGGCTTAACAAAGTCAATCAAAACCTCTTGATAAAAACAGCGGTTGAAAGAATTCCAGGCGGCTATTAATCTTATGGTTAAAGGAAAGCGCCGACGTCAGATTTAAGAATGATAATTCTTTACCGAATGAACAAATGCAATGGTGCAAATGAATACAACAGGCAGAAAAAAGGCAGTAAACGCATTAGATATGATGCATTATAGGTGATAGGAATATATATGAACAAAAATTTGATGAAGTTTGAAACAAAAAAATCTCAAGACTAGACGATGCAGCTGTTAGCTTTAACTGTTATCTAAAGTGATCTCCGCGAATACTTGACACTGAAACGTTTGCTCTATCGATAGTTTAAAAACTCAATCCTGACAAAAACCTTCACGGATTAAAATTGACAATAACAATAACAAAGCGACTAAAAACCTAAACTGAAACCGCACATAGAAAACACAAACAGTCAACAACCTATGCAAGTCTGCAATACAGAGTCGATAACAGAAGCTGGTAGGCGTTTTCAAATCTTGCGCGCCACGAACGTATCCTATTTTAACCGCGTACATCAAATCACTCGAAAACTAGCCGCTGCATGGTATCGCAACCGGATTACCGGAATATAGTGTATGAAACGTCGAGCATGCACCATATACGGCTGATCAAGACACAAAGCTTGTATAGAGTTTTCAACGTTTTTGTGATATTTCGTAATAAATATACTCCGGGCTTTCTATCATCAAATATGCGTGGGGTCAAAACAGGGTAAAACCTGGTATTTGTATTTCTCAATTGCTACCAATTATCACACAAATTTCCAAGGTAATCACGGGAATTCGTTAATCGATTGTCTGCCAGTCTGAGCACGTCAGGAGTGTTAATAACACAACTCATGCATTTGGTCTAACTGAGAAATTTTCTTTATAATAGCAGGAATTCCACTTTACTATAGCGAACGACTAAAACTGACGGATTTTTCAGTTGAAAGCTTCCGGAAGAATGTTTTTGAAAGCTGATTGCCTGTCATTTAATAGATGTGACGAAATTCGGGTTATAGGTAGGAATATTTTGCATGTTTCATGTATAGAACCCTTTGAATGTTTCTAATGAGCTGTGCACTTGAGGTAATGAAACCTACGTAACATTTGTCAAAAAATGGTTATCATAGGTTGATAAGTTTTACAGTTTTTCTTTTTTTGTTTTACACACCTTCCTCTGTTTGTATAACTGATTTTGAATAATCGACGATTCCAGCACCTGCTGTTTTCACACCGCGCAGTCAGCAGGGATCCACGCACTCCAAGGTCTCATTTATTCGCACCAGCTGCGTGGAGAATGATGGGGATTCGAATCTGGTGGAGAATGGTGAGATTATAATAGGCTTTTTTACGTGCACGTACAGCACGTCTGCTATGATTAAACACGAATTAGATTTATCGCAGTGAACCGTAATTAAACCTGGAACGCTAACTCCGGGTTATAGCTCAGCGCTATAGCTACTTGGTTGAAGCAAAAATTGAGCAAAAAGAGTTTTTGACGTTCGTTCAATTTTTATAAAAATTAGCAAATCGTTGTGTTTTTACATAGTTTGAGACATTCCTAGATAATTGCTCTCTACGTAGTACGTATGCCTCAAAAGTTTAAAAACTCCCTTCACATTACCTTCGGCTAAGTTAGCGTTCCAGGTTTTAATACAATTCATTGGTTTATCATTGACGTCACTACATAAATTCCTTTCCACTTAACTTGAGCCTTTTCGGCTCCCGTGACCGCGTGACGTTCGTGTACATACGTAGGGAAGAGTTGAATTCGTTGAAAATTTCACTCACTGAAATAACTATAATAGAATCAAATGAGTATTATCTTATTTGCATTTTTTGAGATATTTATATACATGCTAGAAAGTTTCCTTGCACATATGCGAACAGATATAGGAATGAAAAACGCTTAATAAAAAGCCGGCTTCAGATACTCAGTCCAGACGTCACCAAGGCTGCATTAACCAAAATGTTGATCTAAACACTGTGTCTTCATTGTTGATGACGATAGACTAAGTGCATATGATATATATTTGAGCCAGGAGCGCAGGCCACCGGAAAATCCAAAGCTATAGAATTTATTTTGTCCTATGACCCTGTTTTCACTATACCGGACTCCATTTTACTCCCAAAAGTACGATAGCATGATTGCATTAACATGATCTACCAAATAAAAATGCTGCAGGGATATTATGAAACAGGTAAAACTGGTTTGAATGAAAAGCTTAAACGGGGTTTGAGAGCTTACGTAGCAGTTAGATCAAAAAGACAATATTGCTGAGTGTATTTGAAGAAAATTTCGGGATGGACCTAGTAAACTAAGGGGAACGTTAATTGTCTGTTGAATTAAGACTCCTAAGTTAAAAAAGTCGACAAAATATTCTAAATTAACTGATCATCCCTTACGTTATATCCTCAAAAATTCAGCACTTCTCAAATGTTAAGAATTGCTCGATATTTTAACCTCAGAAAGGCACAGCGCAGAGAAATATATAAAGGGAGGGACTGGTTAGTTTTGGTCCTAAAAGGGTTGGTTAAAAAATAAAAAGGATCGAGTTTTGGGAAAATACAAGTATACTAAAGGGCATCATTCAAAATCAATTCCTATAGGATTGTGCCGGGTATATCATTTTGTCAACATGCACGATGCCGGCATCGAAAAATCAAAAACTTCGATCACATAATATGCAAATGCATGAAAATAGCTAATATATGAAATTTTTTTCGGCGATATGCTATACGAAAAGTACAGAACGAAATGATTGTTTACGTAGTGGCGTAGCAGGTCTGACAATTTTGTCTTGTTATGCTAATATCTTGGTGTTTATTGGCGGTAAAATTAAAAACAATAAATTTCTAAAGAAAGAAGTAATGATAAATATGTAGCCTAAAATTTTCATTGCAGGACGATTGCATCCCCTAGCTATACCCTAATGAAATATGTACTTGAAGACTTTGTTAGTGTTTCAAGCCAGTTATATCGACAAGTAGAATTAAGTATTCAGGATTTTTCCAGCAGTTACTTTCTTGTGATCTCAATATATATTGAGTATTCTAATTCTTTCTTCCCCATCTATACAGATGCAATTCATGTATACCGCACCGTATACAACGCATTTTACTGAGTGCTAAAAGTCTAAAATGAGTATATTTAGAAAACTTATCCGTACCTCGAAATGCATTCAATATTAATCATTTGACATAAATTTATAGTGTAAAGTTACGAATATATATGACATGCATTTATAGAAGACGCCAACTCACTGACTGTAATAAACATAAAGTATTGCTACGCCTTTGGAGTCCAATACCGAAGCGGCATCAAAACTCTCACAGGTTATAATTTGTAACCTACACAACTCTAAGGACTCACCCAAATATAATATTGAGGCCTTGAAGGAATCATCATGATCTTATTTAGTATAAATCAAGGAGCTATAAGAAAACATCACTGCACGGGATATCATCACAGAGAGAGAGGGGAAGGAGAGAGAGAGAGCAGCAAAATGAAGAACGTATCTTTTTTGTGCTGCATCTTCATCGTCTGCTCGGCAGGTAGCGTAAGTTTAGCTTTTCATATATAAGTTTTTTTTCATATATAAAAAATGTACTTTATACTAACCGTCATCCTATCACTCTTTCCGATCGAATTCTTTGTAAAATCCGTTCTTAATAGCATCTGAAATAAAAAATATTACATATACCGCTATATTATATCATAACTAAAGAAATCGTACAAAGTATACATGTAATAATAATACGTATATAAATTGTTCATTCTTCAGTTCAGAAAATCATTGACGGGGCCGTCGCTAGAAGCTTAATTGGGGGGGAGGGGGAATAGTCCTATATATTCGTCGTCTTATGTCTGACTGATTTCTTTCTACGGCAGTTCTACGGTTGTACGAACATGAATTTAGGAGTTCGACGGTCCTGAAAATTGACTAAGCTATTATTTTTCCTAAGGCCTATAGGTTATACGTTGCATATTGGTCGGGTCGAATGCAATCAAACAATAGATAATGCATGAGATGATAAACTTCATTATATATTGAATCATTATCTGTTGTTCAAATTGCATTTGACGCGACCAAAATGCGACGTATAACCTATAGGAACTCAGTTTGATCTACATGCAGTGTGGCGCTAATTTTGTCAGTCGCTGCATGTCCGGCGTAATGTATACCTATGCGAGTTTGAAAATTGCCGAACCATATGCATGTAACCAGTATAATTTGACTATAAACACTCGTGAGGAGAAGAGGAATAAAATGTAGTTTACGTTTGGCATTTGGTGAAAAACATGGTAAAAGAATTATAAGTATGAATAAGACAATATTTCTGACGCGGAGTGCCATAGCGACGTACATGTTGCAATATATCGTTCCTGAGTGTTATAGCAACGCACATGCTTCAATATCGTGGTGGTAACACTCAAGTGAAACGCTACATATTCCTCAGCGTTTATTATGACAACTGTTGGCTTACTATATAAGGCGGCTTCTCCATAAATTTATTGCATCATACCATAGTTGCCAGAAGTTGCCAGAAGATATCAGACGCGCGGTTAGGAAGGCGGTTGACTGAAATTCAACTTAATGGTATTAATGAAGGTATTAATGAAGCCGTTAATGAAGCCATTTTAAAGTCAATTAGGAGTCAGTTTGCTTTGTGATAACTCTATGTTCAGGAGCGATATAAACCCTATAACTCTGGCTGCGCTCAAACGGAACAAGAAGAATTTGTCCTAATCCCGCGTGCACTTAAAAACGTAGAACCGGTCAAATTTTTATCCATTTTTAATCGTGTCCCAACTTCGTCCGGTCCCTTGTGAGCGTAGCCTCAAAGTAACTTTGATAGTCTCTGTTGGCATAGCGCAATTTTCCTTCCCGGCTATTTTTTTGTAAATGATGCATCATTTCATTCCCATTTGCCGCTGAAGAAGAAATTTCCTAGATCTTGCCGATCGAATCCCTCTTCGCAAGTTTTCTTATTTCTTCAACCTTTCTTTACAATAGCTTTTTTACGTACTATTTTTCTAGCTAGCGCCATAAGTCAAAGGACGAAAAGAGCAGTCTGTGGCAATCAGTTATGGGATCCTCGATACGACATCTGTTGTGAAAATCGTGCGTACGGGCGACGTTATGGAACCTACTCTGGATGTTGTGGTAACAAAATTTTTAACGCTAAGACTGCAGTTTGTTGTTCGAAACGCACGTATAAAATCAAGAGTACAGAATTCACCCAATGTTGTGGTCGAAGGAAATTTGATGGAAATACGAGAATATGCTGTGGCTCCAGATATATTCTTAGGAGATCAGCTGGTGCTTCAACACGATGTTGTGGACGAAGAACCTACAATGCTGACACAACTGTTTGCTGCGCTGGCAAAAGAGCGAGGAAAGGAGCTGGAAATCTAACACAATGTTGTGGAAAAAAGAGCTATGACCCCAAACTTTCCATTTGCTGCCAAGATACGATCGTCAATATTCCAGTCAACGCCAGCAGTTCGTGTTGTGGGAAAACAGTGTACAACCCTTCTACATCGGTCTGCTGCAACGGCCAACCCGCGCCTCTAATTGTGGGCAATCTCACGATGTGTTGTGGTAAACAAAGCTACGACCAGACCAGTTCACTTTGTTGTGTAGACACTGTCATCCCAAAAGTAAATAATACCAGCCAGTGCTGCGGAGTTACATCCTATGATCCAACAACCTCAGTCTGCTGTGCTGGAAACTCGGCAGAAAAAGTGGCCGGTAATCTAACACAATGTTGCGGTAGAGAAAGCTTTAACCCTCAAGAATCACTTTGTTGTGTAGACACTGTCACCCCAAGAGTAAATAATATCAGCACGGAGTGCTGCGGAGTTACATCCTATGATCCTACAACCTCAGTCTGCTGTGCTGGAAACGCGGCAGAAAAAATGGCCGGTAATCTAACACAATGTTGCGGTAGAGAAAGCTTTAACCCTCAAAACTCACTTTGTTGTAACGGAGAAGTTAAGCTAAAAACATATGGTAATACAACACAGTGTTGTGGGACCAGTATTTACACCCCCTCGACCCACGTATGTTGCGCAGACAAAAAGAAACCTAAACGACAAAATGTTGCTAACACCATAAAATGTTGTGGAAGCATGAGTTACAATGAAGAAAACCAGATTTGTTGTGATGGGAGACGGTGGTCCAAAAAGTACGGGAAGTATACCAGATGTTGTGGCCGGAAAAGATACAGTGGCAAACCAAGAGGAGGGAAAAGGAAATTTTGTTGTGCGAACCGTGTGATTTTCTCCCGCACAAGATTTTGTTGCAAAGGAAAATTGCAAAGGAAAGGAACTGCCTGTCTATAAACACAGTCGGACAATTATTTAGTAACATTTATACCTTTAATGAACATATTTTTTTATTACAATTCAGTTTAAAAGTTTTATAATAATTCAGTTATATGCTGGAGATTTCCGTATGATTATGTAGCCTATACAAACCATATAACCAGTGGATAATTGCTGTTTCTCAAACCACATTTGAAATACTGAATATTAATAAAGCATAAACTATCGCATCTTTCACGAAAGTGATTTGCCAAACTGCCGCATTTGCCGTGACTAAATTCATCTTGTTTATTTCTGCCGTTTTTCAAAATCGACTTTTCAAGTGTTGTGGACACTTGTACTTCCGTCAACAAATGTCATTTTTCACAGAGAGGTACGTCTTTCCGTATTTTTTTATACTATTCATTGTATATTTGACTAATACCGCGGTATTCAGTTTCCTCAGTTGAATGACATCCACGAGGCAAAACCAACTTTAGAGCTACCGGAACCAAATGGTTTTTGGTGCACTGAAACAAAATTTTTGTCGTTTTTCGGGCACTTTAAAGTTCGTTTAAAGCCACGCGGCCGGTTGTAAAAAATATTAACAACATTTTGGGTATTTAACTATAATCGGCTAATCCTGTCACTATAGCCGTTTAGAGAGGATTTAAAAACATGCTACCTTCGAACCTAATTAAATATTTAACTTCCAAAGTAGAATTATCTTGTTTAACCTAGTAAGACATAATTCCGTCTCCCCTAGTTAAAGGGAACATTTCAACCCCCCATCTCCTATGATTGACGCCCTTGTTATTAATGAACAGTGGTGCACTAAATAGCGATAATTGTAACGTCTTTATTAATATATGGCTTTGCAAAATCCTCTATTCTGAATGGTTCACGAGCGGGGTCCGCAAAACCCATATCCGGACCGTAGTCCGTATATTCCGTTATCTGGACCAGTACCCTCTATGTCTCATCCCACTAAAAAGCCTCAGTCTAATGTTTTACAGCACAGACCTCACGCACGGTCAATAATCAGTTAATATTCATGTTCATACACGGTAAAAACAATCGCTTCCGAAAGAAATCAGTCGAAACCGTTATGCCCAATTGTTATACGCACACCTTAAGAAAATATTTTGGGATGCGCACTCCTGATCCAGTGAGCTGTATATAAAACCTGAAACGATAACTGACGATTACATTGGCCGCCATCTTTGAAGCCTATACGAAACCACATGGAGAACCATTGCCACTTGCCAGTCTCTTTTTTATTGCTTTTGGCGCATCGTCGACCATGAAGACAGATCAATAGAATGGCTTAAAAGACGGCAATCGAGTTATCATTTCATTTTAAATAAAATTCACTGCCCTGATAAGTCTTACGAAAGAAATCAGTAATAGAAAACACACTATTCTCAGGAACACAATTTGAATTGAAATTCTGGTTTACTATTTAACAATTAGACAACGAGTCTGAGTTGTCTATGAGCGAATAGTGAACGAAGGCGAAGCCTGAGTTGATTATTCGCTCATAGACAACGAAGATGAGTTGTCTAATTGTTTTAGTATACACCCTGTACCTAGATATATTAATTTCGAGAAAATAATCGATACACCGCAATTACACCGAAAAATAATTTAATAAATTCAATTTTATACGGTCGCACGAGCGAATTTTTCCCAAACGTTTACCATCACGAATAGACAATGGTTGAGTAGCCAATCAGAGTGTAGGATTTTTAATACTGAGACAATAGTCGGGTGTATACTAATACTCGTTATAGCACAGATATATATGACCCAGAGCCATTTGCTGTAGGGGTAATTTGACCAATATAAATTATATTAAGAGTACTGCTGCATGCACATGCAGGCACCTAGAAAGTTGGTGATGTAATCAATTTAGGAAGCAGATGACTGTAATTGATTTGGAGAATTTTATGACTTTTTTTGGCATCAATGTTGTAAGGAGCCTTTTCCCTCTTGGGCATTTATACAGCATGCTCTATTGGTCATAAACACATATACTTTATAGGATGATGTAATCGATATAATTTTAATCACCATTTGAAATGCTTTTTTTGCAGTTTATTACTGATATAAACATCCTTGCTTTTATTAATATAGTTGTATAATTATACCACTTGGGGCATGCAGATAGATATACGGTAGTACAGACTTTACAATGTAAAAATGTTCATTAAACATTCATTTTTCCAATTGAGTTACGGCATGAAGATCCTCTCTTCACTATTTTCCCCTTGCAGCAATGGCCGGAGCTGTAGTATAATTTTTCGGCACAACAAAGCAATTTTCTACCTCGTGCTATGCTTCTTTTGCTCACCTTTCTGTTATATCTTTCGCTACCACAACACTTCGTGTTATTTCCGTAAATTTTCGACCAAACTTTTCCTTCACAACAAACGTATTTTCTAACATCGTAACTCTTCTTCCCACAACATTGTATGGTGTTTCCAACTTTTTTTCGTGTCACATAACCGTCGCAGCAGGTGTAGGTGGAGGGGTTGTAGCACTGGTTTCCACAACATTGTGAAGAAATACCATATCTTCTCGTAACTACTTTATCGTTGCAACAGATCGATTTTTGAGGGTTGTAAGCCACCAGACCACAGCATTGCGTAACTTCACCAGCCATTCTATGTGTCGAATGTCCAGCGCAACAGATGGAGGTTTCAGGGTTAAGCGTTTTATCTCCACAGCACTGACTAAACTCGTTATCTTTTTTACTAACTTTGTTTGTACAACAGAGAGAATTGGTGGGATCAAAGCTTTCTGTACCGCAACACATTGTACGATTACTCGCGAGTTTTGTAGCTGGCCGTCCGTTACAGCAGACCGAGGTTTTGATATCATATGAAGTTGTTCCACAACATTGATCATTGTTGCTCGTTTTCGTGATAACTTTATTTCTGCAACACAGGGAAACCGCTGGATTGTAGCTTTTGTCCATGCAACATTGGGTCAAATTACCAGCCATTCTTGCCGCGAGTTGTCCTGCACAGCAGATTGAGGTTTTTGGATTCAAGGACTGGTTTCCACAGCACTGACTAACTGAATCACCTGTCTTTAGAGAAACTTTGCCCTCGCAGCAAAGAGAACTCGCAGGATCGTAGCTATCTTTATCGCAGCACAATGTAAGATTGCTTTTGAGCTTTTTGGCGGGCTGTCCGTTACAGCAGACGGATAATGACGGATCATATGATGTTTGTCCGCAACATTCACCACTGCTGCTATTATCTGGCTTGCCAACGACTTTCTTTTCGCAGCAGACAGAAAGATTTGGATCGTAGCTCTTCTCCCCACAGCATTGGGTCTTGTTTCCTGCTACTCGACCCCTACCACTTTACCAGCACAACAAGTGAAAGAACTACCATTGTACGGGGAATTTCCACAACATCGAGTTGATGCACCAGCTGATTTAGGATGAATAGATCTTGAATTACAGCATATTTCTTTCTCGCTATTAAATGGTTGTTGACCACAACACTGAGTCATCCCTGTGCATTCCTTACGGAATACAGATCCTGAACAGCAAATATGACTTTGGGCATCGTAGATTTTCTTTCCGCAGCATCTGGTGTTTGCTCCATAACGTTGTTCATGCGCATTACCGTCACAACAGATATCGAATAAAGGATCCCAATATTCATCGCCACAGACAGCTGACGAAGCTTTGCTAGCTTTTGCTAGGAAAATATAAAGCGATTCATTCACAAAGGCTAAATCTACCGTTACTGCCCCATAACTCTACCCAATCCTTTACAATCCTACACATGCATGATAGAACCGAACTGAGTTAGGTAGTCAAATCGCAGGTAACTAAAAAATACACGATGTTGGCTGCCTAATTAATCTTGTCATAACTGTTTAGTATCAAATGTGGTATAACAACTGCCTAAATAACAAAACACTTCTCGACGTTTCGACCTGAGTGCCTTCGTCAGAAGAGTCAGCCATACTAACAGTTTTTATACCACATTTGATGCTAAGTTGTTTGAAGACGCTGCCACGCTGCTCCTTGGTTATACTGTCATAACTGTATTTAAAATTCAGGTACTTTAGTACTTTTTTATAACTGGCTCTAATATGTCGGCGAGAAAAAAGTGATGTTAGGCATTGCTAAATAACTTAGGTTTGATTATATCGGAACGGAATTCGTGCATTCATTAAAAATTGTCAAAGTGTTGAAAAATTTTTTAATTTGCGTATTGGCACAGGGTGTAACCGCATAATATCTTTTGAGAAGTTAGTATTCAGTTAACGCAAACGAAAGTAAACTGCCTAATAAAATTATGAGTTCGTAGGTACACCTATAGTCCTTTACGTAAATTCATTACTATTGTATACAAGTCTACAATATATGCATAATGACGGAACAGGTCAACGACTGACTGAAAGCTTAGCGCTTTTGAATATGTGCGAAGTTTACGTGCAAACTGACAATTATATATTATTAATTGTTTGCTATGCCAAATTGCAAGAATATTTTAACATATATTTAGTCAGGATAGTATATATGGCAAACTAGCTTAATGTGTACAGCATTTTAATTATTGGACAGTCTGGACATTAAATGCTTCCCTGCCTTAGTTCGTCAAGATTTGCAGAAGAAAAAATGTTAGGTTGAGTGGACGTAGAAACTTTTTGATATAGCACTGAAACGATTAGAACTGATACGAATAGAAACACCCTATAAATAAATCAAAGCACTTACGAAAAAGTAAGGAACTATAATAGTTTGATTCGTCATATTTTATACACTGTTACTGTGCTACTTACGAAGTGATACAGTTAAGTCAAAGACGAATATAGTTTTAATATCTATGCTCATGCATTTTCTTGCAATAATGAAAGCTGGCTTTACCAATTTTTGCACCAGCTTATGGTTCGATTCGGAACGCCTAGGTAACAAGCAATGTCCATTTGCATTCCAGCAAAATATTTCAACTTATGGCTTATGTTATACATTACTACATAATCTCACCTGAAAATGGTAAAAGTAGAATGGAAATCAAACCTAACAAAAACATTTTCTGCTTCATCTTGAAATTGTGCTCTTCACTTCACGATGTTTTCTCGTTCTTTGAACATTCTGAACACAGCCAGCTTAAAACGTTTCAGTGGTTTCACCAAATTTGTCAATATCATGTTTGGGTGAGTCCTTGAGGTTGTGTAGGCAACGAACTTCAACGAAGTTCAACGAACAACATTTTAATTGAATTTATTAATTCAACTATTCAATTATATTCGTTTTGTGTAATCCTCCAGAGGGCGCGCGATATCCGATCATGTAGTGTGATGCAAGCAAGAATCCAGGAGGTCTAGACGGCTGAATAATACCTAAGAGGCGTAACCTGTATGATAAATACACTCTGAGAGGACTGGCCAAAAAAGAAGAAACGACCATTTCAGAATATATCGTACCGAAATATTCTCGAGCACACTGTGAAATTCTCTACCTGTATATAGTTAATTTATCTCGAATATCGGTTGATATTCTCATATATACGTAGGTTAATATTCTCGACTACCACTTTGTATTCTCGATACACTTTTGTCACATTTGGCTTGCCATAAATTACGGATGAACCTCGGATACCAAATTACAAATGTGAAACATTACCGTATTTACTCGATTGAGCGCCGCCCCCAAATGAGCGCCGCATTTGCGATTGATCTTTTCTTAAAGAGCGCCGCACTAATTATTTTCAAATTTTCAAATACTATTGTTAAATCGGTCTTTAGAATTTTCGTAAGGCACAGGTCAGTCTTGAAGGCAGAGATTCCAGTGATTTGTGCGAGGTTTGTTTTCTGTAAAATGTCCAAACGTTCGCTGTCAAAATGGGGACATTTGGCTACATATAATTTTCAATTCTTTTTGTTTTAAAGTTCTTGTTACAATTCACAAATAATATTGTTTAAAGAGCGCCGCCCTCGATTGAGCGCCGCCCTCGATTAAGCGGCGCCCTCGATTAAGCGCTGCATCTGAAGTTTTAAAAATTTAAAGAGCGCCGCGGCGCTCAAACGAGTAAATACGGAACGGATGATTCTAGACGAGCAATCTGCTCGTAGCTAAATTGCGAGATTGTTGACGTAACGGTTACGTAACCTCCGTTATATTGCTTAAATATTTTGCTTGAATACCTTCTTCAAGTTTTTATCCGATATCGCGCCAATGAGCTTCGGGAAATGGCGCTATAGAAATCCCCCTCTCGCTGTGGACTTAAAGTGCTGGTGAACTTTAGAGCAAGATTTAACTACACTAAATCTTATTAACAATTCTTATGTTTATTTATTTTATCTTTATAGGAATTAGAAAACTAATGCTGTTACTGCAGGGGAGATAATCGGTCTTTTTGTGATGGAATAGAAAGCGAATATTCATCGCGTATTTTTACATGCATTCAACAAGGGCAGATTTCGTTCTAAGCCAATCAGCGCGTTTGTTGACATTTTTGCTCTCCGCCAATCAGAATGCTTGAAAATAAAAATTGTAAACAAAAGGAGCGAGAAAATATTGCCGTATTCTAAGGCATCCGTGAGCCAGAATATTTACTTTTTATATTCGAAACCGAAAGAATGCAATAAAACATAAATATATCTTGAATTTTGCCGTGGGGTTTTTTAAATTTCAAAACATAACGTGAAATATCGACGTTTGAATTACTGCAATGATGGCGCTCTATGGCTGCAATATATCGTTAATATATCGATAAATTATTTGGGGAATAATGTCGGTTTCCTCTCAGGATTCTCCTTTCCGTCTCATGTTTTCATTTCAGTTCTGGATAATGCTACTTGGAATGAGTTGGATCTTTGGGACAATGAAAACACCATGATATAAATAATAACCATTGTTCGGAGCTTGCTAAGATGTTTTTTCACGCTCAGTGGACATTCTGTCAGAACATATGGCACTGTTTACGCAATAGTAGAGATTCACAGCACCAGCATCCCTGCATATCACCTCAAAGGCATTGGGATCCATTTCTGGTTGGGAAAAATTACCAATGTGAGACTTGATTTTTCTAAGATCATCACTGAAATTTCTTGAGCAGTGAAGAATAATCATCTGCAGAGAGAAATACACTGTCAACTCTTTGGCACTCTTTGTCTGCAACATCCAATATTTTTCCTGTATAAAAATCTTGATTGTCGATGGTATTTGCTTGGCTGCATGGGTGTTAAAGTTATTGTTGTTGTGTCACTTGTTTGGCTCTATGATGCTTCTTGGTTAAGTGCTTGATCTTCTACATTATGTTGACTTTCAGCAACCTTATCAGTGGCTATAATTATATCACCAGCCTGGCTATTAGATTGTTCTTGCTTCTCATTCGATTTTTGGCTGGATTCAAGGTGATTAATGGATGTAGTACCAGTACATTCAGGATTAACATGCATCTGCAGCAGAGTATAGTAAAGTACAGTAAGTTAGCTATAATTATTATATTAATTTACCATAATTAACATGTTGGAGGGTGGAAGGGAGGTGTATAGGATTACTTATATAATTTTATATTATAATGAATGTAACTCTCAATTTAATTATACATCTGGAGGTAGTGCCCATTCCTGGGTACCATGCCATTATGCCAATTTCATTTAGATGATTGTGTGAAGCCTAGGCACCAGAAAAAGTGCCAGCACAATTGCCGGGCACTCAATCAGAACACAGCCTTAATTCCTCAAACTTCATCTGAATGCCTAATCTTATATTGTGATCTATGATCAAGTAAATTGTAAATTATTTGTAATGCTACTAATTGTAACCTAGTAGTGTAATGTAGTAGGTAGAGAGTAAGGTGGGCGAAGATGATGGGGAAAAGGGGAAGGAATGTGTGGGGGATGAGAGTTATAATTAAATTATAATTAAATTGAGAGTTACATTCATTATAATATAAAATTATATAAGTAATCCTATACACCTCCCTTCCACCCTCCAAACTAATTATGGTAAATTAATATAATAATTATAGCTAACTTACTGTACTTTACTATACTCTGCTGCAGATGCATGTTAATCCTGAATGTACTGGTACTACATCCATTAATCACCTTGAATCCAGCCAAAAATCGAATGAGAAGCAAGAACAATCTAATAGCCAGGCTGGTGATATAATTATAGCCACTGATAAGGTTGCTGAAAGTCAACATAATGTAGAAGATCAAGCACTTAACCAAGAAGCATCATAGAGCCAAACAAGTGACACAACAACAATAACTTTAACACCCATGCAGCCAAGCAAATACCATCGACAATCAAGATTTTTATACAGGAAAAATATTGGATGTTGCAACAAAGAGTGCCAAAGAGTTGACAGTGTATTTCTCTCTGCAGATGATTATTCTTCACTGCTCAAGAAATTTCAGTGATGATCTTAGAAAAATCAAGTCTCACATTGGTAATTTTTCCCAACCAGAAATGGATCCCAATGCCTTTGAGGTGATATGCAGGGATGCTGGTGCTGTGAATCTCTACTATTGCAAACAGTGCCATATGTTCTGACAGAATGTCCACTGAGCGTGAAAAAACATCTTAGCAAGCTCCGAAACAATGGTTATTATTTATATCATGGTGTTTTCATTGTCCCAAAGATCCAACTCATTCCAAGTAGCATTATCCAGAACTGAAATGAAAACATGAGACGGAAAGGAGAATCCTGAGAGGAAACCGACATTATTCCCCAAATAATTTATCGATATATTAACGATATATTGCAGCCATAGAGCGCCATCATTGCAGTAATTCAAACGTCGATATTTCACGTTATGTTTTGAAATTTAAAAAACCCCACGGCAAAATTCAAGATATATTTATGTTTTATTGCATTCTTTCGGTTTCGAATATAAAAAGTAAATATTCTGGCTCACGGATGCCTTAGAATACGGCAATATTTTCTCGCTCCTTTTGTTTACAATTTTTATTTTCAAGCATTCTGATTGGCGGAGAGCAAAAATGTCAACAAACGCGTTGATTGGCTTAGAACGAAATCTGCCCTTGTTCATGCATTCATATATTCATGTTTACCGTAGGAACAATCGCTTACAAAATAAACCACCTACTGAGTCTGGACTGGAGTCAAGACAAAAACTGAATATGATCCTGGACGTAGGCCGGCTAAATATTCCAAGTTAACTTGTGCAAATCAAAATTAAAGTTCCAAACTATAACGTTTTTGTTAATTGTAAAAGGGACACTTTTTATTGAATGAACTTTAAGCTTGTCATTCTGAATCGTACTTGTTGAGCATTTGATCTATTTGTGCAAGGGCATCTTTTACACATAGCCGAACTATATCAATTACCTATATGCATGCATATACAGGGATATGCGTAGAATTAAATCAATATCACCGATATGGTATATCAGCGGGTACTAATTAAATCCTACCTGTTTTAACTTTGTATATATGACCATGTTTTGGGACTCACGTTTATAATGCTTTGTAAGACAATTAACTGTGTCGGCAATTCTGCATGTTATCAATATCTTCAGCATTTTTCTTGGGCGGATCATCTTTAGCATTTTTTTGGACGGATCAAACCAATGCTTAGCATTTTCTTATTCGCCTTTCTGCAAGGAACGGCCTAAGTGGTGCCACATGTTTGATAATAACTGTGCGTCTGAAAGAATGCAATGCCAGAATCACGAAGGACTCAGCAGAGTTTCTACAATTGAAGAAAATTTCCTTTCAAAATGAAAACCACGAGGGAGGGAGGGATCTGTGGTAATGATATATTATGCATTCTTTTCAAAAGTTATTTGTCTCAGCATTTTGTCATCGCTATCCCCATGAAGATAATCGTATGCAAATAAGTTGTGAAAAAGGTTTTTTCACACCCTACAACTGACAACCTCAGAATTTCCTGAGTAATCCAGTAATTTGTTCGCTTGGAATTCGCTGTTCACAAAAGAGTTTAGTTCTAATGGTATTCCTTGAATACAACTACAGGGTGTACAGGGTGTCCCAAAAAAAAAGCAACCACTTAAATATGCAGAACATTAATACAGCTCTAAAGCGCAATAGATAAGCACCTCTGGGAATTGAAAATGGCTCTTAATCCTTCATTTA